CTAATGTAGAGTATGCATAGCAAACGAGACCTTCGTCGACACTGCATCGAAAGCAAAACAAGAAAAGGTGAAAGAAGCACCGTGAGGTAGCCCAAATGGCCTAGGCGCCAATTATAAAGGTCAGAACCGTGATCAACAGACTTTCAGCGAAACTTTTGTAATTTTCGTATAATGCCTATGATCGAAGGGACCTTACTTACGGCATTTCTAATGCATTAATTTTTGTTTTTCTTCCCCTCACTATCGATGTACTTAACACCTACCCCTTCCTTAAACTTCTAGGCACTTTGTTACCACTGCACAACAATATTAATAGTTAAACGAAGGCCTTGAGGGGAATTCCTCCCCCTTTCCCCGCCTCTCGCCCCAACAAGGAGTTATTCTAAACTGAACTCTCTCCTGTGAGCAGAGAGGAGTAGTTTACAATTGCACCTCGGAGGAGGAGCATTGATCATCACCCTCAAGAAAACTAGGCCAGTCTATTACGAGGCAGAGCCCATACCTGTAAGAAGCGGCTTATTCATGCAAGTGGTTGAGCAGGCAGCGACGCTGGCGAAACTCCAGACGGAAGAGGGCTAGATGTATGTACAAGAGAGAGGGGTGTCGGTAGACCAGTGGGGAGCCGTTCCAAGGCAACGTGCTTGGGAAGCCCGTATATGCCTCCGATATGAACTAACCGCTGCGTTTTCCCAGAACTTCTCCTGCTAACATTATGTTTTCCCCTCATTCATTTCCGGGACTTTTCATAAATATCTGACATCTTCAAACACTTCTGGTTGCAACTATACTTGATTCGTTCCAGTCAGTCGGGACGGTCAGGAGGGGTAGGATGAGCTTGCCCCGCTGCGTTTTTTTTACCAATAAAAATAGGTGATCTAAAGAAGAAAACGACTACTGCTAGAAAAATGCCGAAGGTCATTCCCCCCGCTTCTGACAACCGCCCTTCCCCCCCCCCCGCCCCCCCGACTGGACTGCGACGAATGCTGCGCAGTGAAACGCAAAACTGTAGTGTAAACGCCTGTTATTAGACACTGAGACGCCTCACACGATGCAGGCAATCTACAAACGCTTATTCAACACTCAAAGTAACCACTAGCAAAAAAAGTATTCATTATTATACAATAAATAGGTACATATGTGGAACAAGCCCAATCACAAAGACTTCGGCAAGACAGCAACAGCAAAGTTGGAAAGTGAACAAATTCAGAACAAATTCCAAATTCAAAATGTTTTAAGTACAACTGCATATAACTAGATGACACATAAGTAAACAGTCTATAAACACATGTGTACATACAGAGTGAAAGCTCGATTTTCCGAAGAAAAGAAACAAAATGCTGTGAATCGATAATCGATTGATAAGCGATTTCTACAAGGAGCATGGGCAACCGTGTGTACATATCATGGACGCTGAGATCATGAAACGCTTCCAAGAAATGACAAAATTCGAACTCGCAACCATCATAATCATAAATATTTCTCTAGATTTTTATAAATACTACATAAAATACAAGTCAAAGGCACAGGAAAATTGAGAATCATGAGCGTATTATTTAAACAGTATGGACAAAATCATTCAAATAATTAGTTATTGTATTGATTGCAGTACATCGACGTCAAGAATATCAGCGTGATGAAGGAATCGGCTACAAAAAGAGCTCTCTGCCTGACATTCTTCACTTTCAGACGATTTACCAAAGCATGGCACACCTCCAACAGTTGGCGGAGGTGAAACACATGCACGAACCCTGAGTAACATAGCATTATTCATGGAGCAATTAACGAGAAGTGTTCTCCGGAAAACAGAGCATGGGTCCCGTGAAAAAAAGGGAGATAAATTTCCAAGGCGAAATATTAATAAAAAGACTAGTAAAATCAAGAAGAAGCAAGAAAAAAACGGCAAATCCGTCAGGTGAGAATGGCTTTTTTTTAAGACACTTTGCGATTATAATTCGCGAGCTTTGGACTTCAAGATGAGAATTTTAGATCTTCCTTGACTTAACTGACGAGTCGAGTAGATAAGACCCTAGAAGATTCCCTATGTAAGGGCCTTAAATTGGCCGTATACTCTAAGAAGTGGGTGTGGTATTTTAACCCATGGCGATGCTACACCCTGCACAGAATAGCTCGAGACCCCGCTTACTTCGGAGAGTGAGCTGATTGTGCCTCTTCACTTACCTTGTTCTCGAGCCCAAACCACAATTGCCTACACAGGCCGACCATTCATTCCACGCTGACCATTCACCGTCCGTCGACTCTAAACGATGTACACACCTAGACAATTGTGCAACTATTCTCAAATTTTAAATTTGATTTTTGAGTTAGAACAGTAAAAAAACACCATGCAGTGCGAAAAACTGAGTGAGAAATATGTGAACATTCCGGGAGCTCATAGTAAGTCACTACTCGAACAAAAGAAAACTGAAAAGGACGTGTTTCACAGTGTCCGCGGAACTTACAGTGAAAGGGAAACACCTGATTCCACCTTCGGCAACGTTACTTACTCGAATGAGCTTTCATGAGAAAAGCCGGCGAACAAGCCGCCAAGCGAAGAAACTCCCCACAAGTGAAGACACATATCGCAATTATTAGTCGTAGATAGCGGGGTCTACTCATGAGCTTGATGTCTTGGTTGTGAGCAAAGCAAAAAAAAAACCGTCGAAAGCGCCCAAATGGAGCCCGATTAAGTTTCAGAACTGGATGGGCGTGCGGCGACCACGATGGCTGGGGACGGGCGGTTACTGCCAACGTCGTTGGGGAAAGGGTTGAGTGCGGTATTGCCAATTGTCCCATCGCAGCACTTCCACCAGTGACGTTGGCAGTGACCGCCCGCCTCCAAAAATCGCACCCAGTGACTTTGGAAATGCAGAAAAACTTAGTGAGTAGGCGGAGCCGAACACAGGAGGTCTGTTAGTCGCGATGCCTTCCTCCTCTTTCCTTTTTTCCTCTCCTTTAATTCTTTTCTTTCCCTACTTTTCTTGCACCTCTTCGTTACTTCCCTCCCTTCCAATGCTTGGTCAGAAGATGCGGAGAGGAAATTCTGGGTGT